CTTTCTGTAGCGAAAAAGAGTGGTTGGGCCTATGGACAGAATTATATTTTTGCTGCAGAACAGTCTTAGATATGCCTGACATTGCAATAGAATGTATCTTATACTGATTCCTAGTCATACACTGATTTCAATGGGACATTAATGGAACATTTGCAGCACAGCAGATCCCATGGAGAATCCACAATGAAAGGATTAATAAGGATTATGACCTACAACAATGTATAGTTAGTATTTCTGAGGTTGATGGTCTCCTATACATGTGCAGGGAACCTGCTCCGATGCGCTGTAATTCCAGCAGCTTAATCGAGTCTGTTGGAGTGTAGATATTAACGCGCTCCAGTAGCCTCCAGTATCCCCTGTGTTGTCCCCGCATTGAAAAATGGCTTAAAGGAAAGCTCATTTGAGCATTAGTTGAAAGCGACCCACCACCACTTTTCAGTGTGGAGATGATGATACATGTGATGCTCTGGGCACTTTTAATTAGCGTGGCTCTCAGAGCGGCGCTAATTAAAGCACCCCTCCATGCTTCCTGGAGCACATGTATAAATGCTCTAAGATACCTCCTTTTCAGCTTTTTGTCAGACCTTGTTCTTCTAGAGCCTATTTGTGCCATCACTGGCATGAATGCCATGAGCAATGTTGTTTATATGATCTCTTCAAATAGCAAGGTGTTTCAAGTGTATTGGTCAGGACCATATTTTTTGAGACTTTTCATGGAAAAAACTTACACATTTATAAAGTAAAAAATGCTGGATAAACACTGAATATTTTTACATTGTGCTCTAATTTAGTAAACAGGGACTCTTGAGTTAGCAGTAAACTATAAGGCCTGGACATCTTTTAATCCTCTAGAAATCATAAAAGGAAGCATTTTAAAATTGACTCAAATAGACCTGCAGATATAGTTTGGATTGATGGAAACAATCCTCGGAATGGGTTCTGATCTGAAGATTTATGTCTGTGCAACTATATCCATTAACTTTGACAGAATTACCATAACATTTATACCCTCAAACAGAAAACAGAATATTGTTCATGAAACTCAACAAAGTTTTATTCAGTCCTTTAAGACTACCCCGTATATTGAACTCAATTTTAAGTACCCAATCTTGTTGAAATGTGACGTTCCTAGTGAGGACAGCTCACACTGGGTCCATGACCATATTATCTGACACCACCAGTGTTATGCTCCTTACTTAACAAAAAATACTGAGGCTTACTTTTCTCCGGGCCCAAAACCACAGGCTCTTTTATTCAGAAACAAACAACACCTACCTGGAAAAATGAAAGTAACTCTGGAACAACAGGGGATGGAGTTCTAGCTCTCCCACTCTATCCCATAATAATAATGACCAACAATTAGCCCTATATTTACCCAATTACTATATTCCTCCCCTCTTAATTTACAACCAGGACATAATCTTTCAAATAACTAGGAGCTCTCCATTCTCTGGCTGGACAATGCCCCTCCTTAGGAACAGGTTTCTCCTCTGGCCGGGGGAGTATATGTCCATCTCTGCCCTCCTGACTAGGAGAGTTTGTGGATAGTTCTGCATTACTGGGCTCAGAATTCTCAGTCATTCTACCCAATTCTGGGTCTTCCGAAAACCCCTCCTTCTCGGGCAGTCACTCCGGTCCCTCAGGTAGGTTGGTTCGTAAGCGGATGTGTTCCTGATGTCATCTCACCATTTGGCCATTACTGACTCCAATTTTAAAAGATAAGGGTCTCATTTGTTCTTGGATCCTGCCTAGAATCCAAGTAGGTTGGTGGGTACTGAATTTTTTTGTGTAGACAGGATCCCACTCCCCCCCAACTCTCTCTTTAGCGTGATAATCATGGTTGTGTTTTTGAAGGGTCTGTTTTTTCCGCACTTCTTCCTCCATATTGGGATATAGTAAATTCAAATGAGTCCTGATCCTCCTTCCCATTAATAGCTCAGCAGGGCTCATGCCTGTGGTGGTTTGAGGTGTGACTCTGTTTCAAAAGGAATAGAGCCAATTTTGTCTCCAAACTTCGTCTGGTCATTTTTCTCATCCCTTCTTTGAAGGTCCTCACGGCTGTCTCTGCAAGACCATTCGAAGCTGGGTGTTATGGTGATGTTTGAATGTGCTTAATTCCATTTTTACTAAGGAACTCCTTAAATTCATGACTAGTGAAATTCGGGACATTATCTGTGACCAGTACCACAGGCAATCCATGTGTGGCAAAAGCCTGTCGAAGCTTGTCAGTTTGCTTCTGAGGTTGTTGAGTTCATGGGGTATGCTTCCAGCCATTTTGAATAAGAATCTATTATGATTAAAAACATTTTTCCTAAATAGGGACTGGCACAGTCTATGTGCAGATGAAACCAAGGCTGTCCTGGCCATTCCCAAGGATTCAAGGGTGCCTGTGCTGGAGCCTGTTGATGTACATTGGGGGCAATGCTTGACCACCTTTTCCAGGTCTTCATTTAGGTGTGGCCACCACACATAGCTGTGAGCCAAAGCTTTCATTTGTCAGAACCAAGTAGTTGTATGCCTATGGCACAGTGGAACATTCCTTTGGTTTGATCCTTAGTGGAATCTCCTGCCATAGTGGAAGATCCCGCTGTCAATCATTCTGCTGTCAATCATTCTGAATGTTATGGCACAGCGGAAAATTCCACTATGTCAGAACCCAGTAACTATATGCCACAGTAATGGAAAGTTACAGCTAAGAAAAAGTTCCCGCCAACTTTATGCAAACATGCACACCACCATTGGCCGGTTCTAAATTATTCATATTTGGTGACTAGCAATTGGCTTGCTAGCCATATAAAAGTTAGAGCAGTTTCCGCCCACGTTGGAGAACTCAGAGAACTCGGAGAACTCCGCACATTTCTCAGAGTTTGGAGAACTCCGCATACACCTTGGAGTTGGAGAACTCCGTGCTTTTCTCAGAGTGAACCCTGCGGACTGATCACCCACCAGTGACTCCCCGTCCTCGACCCTCCTGATGTACCCTGACCCCAGTACCACAGTAAGCCGATTACAGGAACTTCGTCCCGGTTCTCTCGTGTGTTTAAGAGAGTCTTTGTAACTCGTTTATAACTGCAACTAAGCCAGTCAACTCTGCCTGCGCCCATACATCAGTGGCATAAGTAAACAATCTATCTGTTACCAATACGCATCCGTGCCTAATTCTGCTCCATCGGTCAAAAGTACCCGCCTGCCATTTCAGGGCTACTGGCCACAGCCCAGCCTACCACTTGACCGCCACTTCATTCAGGAAATTCCAGGATGTGCCTCATGTAGTTCTGCCAGAACTTTCTGTCATCCTTGAGAGGGGACTACCACTCACATGCCTCACAAAATACAGCCTTCCTCTATGCTCAGTTTAGTACTTCTTGTCCAAGTTCTATGCTCAGTTCGGTACTTCTTCTGATGATTTAAGTAGCCTCTTAGATTCTTGGAAGACTTCTTCTTTTCTACCTCCCCAGTGCCATGAGGTTCCTCTCCTTAAGAGGTGATATAAAGGTTCTGAGAGAGCTGAAAGGTTTGGAAGGAACCGATAATAATTCATCATTCCCAGATGTGCCCGAAGTTCTGATGTGTTTTGTGGGGCCGGTGCCTTATCTATAGCTGTGACTTTATATGCCATGGGGTGAACTCCCTCCTTGTCGATCTTATATCCTAAGAACTGCACTTCAGGCCTCATGAAAAAGCATTTCTTTTGTTTCAAATGTAGCCCTGCTTCTTCTAGCCTTTTGAAATAGTCTCTTGAGTGTTGCCATGTGTTCCATATCACTTTTCCCCATGATGAGGATATCATCAGTCTCACCACTACCTCTGGAATCTCCTTCAAGAGGCTTTCCATGACCCTTTGGAATATGCCAGGGGCTGATGAAACTCTATCAGGCAATCTATTATATTGGTGCAATCCCTTCTGGGTATTTATTGTGGTGAATTGCTTACAGTCCTCCTTGAGTTCCATCTGTTGATAAGCCTGGGACATGTCCAACTTGCTAAAATGTTGGCCTCCTCCAAGCACTGCTAGCAAATCCTTGATGCGTGGAATGGGGTAGTCATCTACCTTAGAAACTTGTTCGGCTGTGACTCGATAGTCCCCACAGATACGAATGATTCCATCAGGCTTGGCTGCTGGTACAGCGGGTCTTGTCTATTCAGCAAAATGTACACGGGAGATGATGCCTTTTAGTTCCAATCTATCCAATTCTGTTTCAGTTATCTCTCTGAGGGCATATGGAACTGGCCTGGCTTTAAAATACTTTGGCTGGCTGCCCTCTTGGATATAAATCCTAGCCTTTATTCCCTTCAATGTACCTAATCCCTCTTGGAATACTGCAGGGTAGGTCCCCAGGATTTCTTTTAGGGAAGGCATTTCCTATAACTTATATGTTTCTTCCCAATCTAGTCTGAGTTTTTTTCAGCCATGTCCTACCAAACAAGTTTGGCCTTTCTCCTTTTACTACTAAGGCCTTTAAGATTTTCTGATGTCCTTTATATGTAACAGAGTCACTTACTGATCCTATTACTGGGATTTTTTCCCCAGTGTAAGTCTTTAGTTTCACTTTTATTTTTTTCCAGTGGACTCAGGCCTGCTTTATACTGTTGACAAGTCTCTCTGTATCTATTTCCATGCATACAGGTTGATTTAACTGTATAGTTACTCTGTAAGGTTTCACTTTATTCTCCATTACACATTATATGGTGTGTACCCCTTCATCTGCCTTCTCTGCTTCATCCTCCTGTACATGATAAGCTTTTTGCTTTCTTCCCTTTTCTTTGGCCTGACCTTGTTGTGCAGCCAGATAGCCCCCCCCCCCCTTGCATTTTTTTGCTAAGTGTCCCATCATTCTGCGTTTATGGCACTGGGACATTTTGTGTCTGCAAACTGAGGCCTAATGTATGCCTCCACAGCGAAAACAACTCTCCAAGTCTCTAAACTTTTGTTGAGAGCTTTGCACTTGGTTTATGGGCTCACGTTGAGTTTCTTTATTGTCTAGATGTAAATACTGTACCTTTTTCACTGCTGCTTCCATGGCCACCTTTAACAGCTTTGTCCCGATCTGCAAATAATTGTTTTTCAATTGTTACATCATGAACTCCACAAACAAATCTGGCTCTCAACATATCCTCTAGGACATTTCCAAAAGATCAGTTAGATTTCTGAGCACAGCAATATACTCTAAGATAGATTCACCTTCTTTCCTCATTCTGTTATGGAATTTGAAATGTTCTACAATAGTGTTTGGCTTTGGAGTATAATGTTCAGATAAGGTTCTTTGGGTGAATCTGATATCGTTTATTAGACCAACTTAAATAGTTGGAAAACAATTATTATGCAAGCTTTCGCGTTCAAATGAAGTCCACTTCATCAACTTCCTGGATACTAAAAATCATGGATTAAATATAGACATTGGATTTATCTCACATTTTAACCTGCCTGACATCTGACTCCCCAGGTATCTCTCCACTATTCATCCCCCTCCTCTCTCTCTCTCTCTCTCTCTCTCTCTCTCTCTCCAACCCCCCCCCCCCCCCCCCCCCCCCCCCCCCCCCTCGGCCAGCCTGTCTCTCACCCGTTGACTCCTCAATCTACATTTTCACTGACTACCTGTCTTGTATGCATACCAGCCCAGCCTCTGGCTTCTTTACTTTTCATTCCATCCAGGAAGAACACACACCAACTGCAGAAACTTCCTTACCCTGACGAAGGGTTTTTGACCCCGAAAGCTTGCTTAATAATTGTTTTCCAACTATTTAAGTTGGTCTAATAAAAGATATTATATTCACCCATAGAACTTTGTCTGCCTATGTCCTTAGACCAACACAGCTACAACCTACACCCATGTTCAGATAATATCTTTTGCAACTCTGCCAAACTTTTATTTCCTGGCTTTTGAGGTTGCAACAAACTTCTTTAAATGAAGTATGTTTTGCTGCCACAAACACTGAGAAATATATTGCCGTCTGTTTGTCCCTGTCAGTGATTTCATTAGCTTGAAAATAATGGCCCAATCTCTCAATATACTGCTGCCAATCCTCAGTGTCTGGATTAAATTCCTCAAATTTCCCACAGGAAGACACAGTTAGAGTTTCTTGTTGTCACTGTTATGTTTCTTACTTAACAAAGAATACTGAGACTTACTTTTCTCCAGGCCCAAAACCACAGGCTGTTTTATTCAGGAACAAACAACACCTACCTGGGAAAATGAAAGTAACTCTGGAACAACAGAGGGTAGAGTTCCTGCTCTCCAGATCCATCCCATAATAAGGACTAACAATTTAACCCTATAATTGTCCAATTACTACACCCTTTCTTTTTATTAGTGAACTAAAAGCCGTGCCTACAAAGAACAATTTCTCCCAAGTTTACAAATACAATAGCTTTTCTGAGTGGTCTATGGGGATGGGATGTAAGTTCTTGACTTTGAAACTGGAACACATATACATCATATTTTGACTCTGATTTGCTTCTGATTATACTATGCCAATTGTCTTTCAATACCAACCTCAAAACTAGGATGTTAATAGGGTAGATTGTAACCATTGACTATATTGATTTGTCTTAATTATTTCACCGATGCTCTGGACTTTGGTATGGTATGGACTGTGGGGATTCTTGCCCCTTTCTGTAGTGGGAGGACATGGCCTTCTTCCTAGGATCTGTTGAGCATATATTAACAAATTCACAGAAGCAGGGCATTAGCTGTTGTGGCAGGTTAGGATGTTATGTTGTGTGTTGTGTCAGGACTGATTGTGTAGATTTGCTAAGAGGTTAGACAATGACTTTGTGTAGGATGGTTTGGATAAGGATGATCCTGCCTTATGCAAAGGGTTAGACTAGATGACCTATGGAGTCCTCATTCATTATGATTCTAACAATCATTGGTAGGAACTAGTTCACAAATTGGCCTTTATTAATGAAAGTCTTCATATTGAAAAATTTGTGGATTTTTCCAACTGTTTATTTTGCTCTGAAGTGCTGCTGGGATGAAAGTGTTGACTAAAGAAATGTCAGTTATAGCAATATATTTGCATAAAATTACATGTGTGCACGTACATGTAATGACACACCAAAAAAAAAGGAGACATGCATACTAAACAAAATTCAAATTAAATGCCAACAAAGGTCTTCTCTCCAGTTTCAAAGATTTCCATATGTACATATATTTAAATGAAGTGACTATTGCAGTATATCTCAAGCAATTAAATGATAATATCCTGACCCAAAGCCCCTGGAAATTAATGGACACTTTCCTTTTCATTTCAAAGGGAGCTTGATGAAGTCCAGAGTGACCAGCTTCTTCCTAGAGGCTGATTTGCTATAATGTACTCCATGCTTCAGTGCCTCTCACCTCCAGCAGAAGTAAAATAAATTCTTCCTTTAAATACCCTGTAAACTGATGGCTTACTATCCATGACTATAATTCCTAAATATCATTAACAGGGAGGCTGCTTTCTCCAGTGGAGTATATAATAAGCATCTAATATAATAAAGGGCTTAGTCTGTCTGTCTGTCTATAACGCTTTTGGTTAACTGTGCATGCACCGCCGAGAGGGCAGGTAGAGATTGGCTGCATGGGCCTGGGTGGAGAGGAGACAGAGGCAGAGGTGGGTGGGGGATGGACAAAGGGTTGTCCTTGAGCTGTGTACAATTGCTTGGAGCTTGGGGGGAACCTTGTGCATCTGGTGAACATGAAGTCCAAACACTTGGAATGGTCCTTGGGTAAGGATTTGTTACTTAATAGAAATCTCAGATATGGGCTGACATCTTTCAATTCTGTTCTAAAATGAAGTTAAGAGGGATGAGAAATAACAGTCATACTCACCACAAACCTATAATAAACTCGGGCACAAGGGGCACATCTACATGAGATATGTTAGTGTGCATTAGCCTAATATAATGACCACTATGGGCACATGTGTACATATGTGTGCCCTTAATGCACATTAAAAATAGTGAAATGATGCTATTCACACCTAAATTTGATACTTGCAAATGCAGATATTAACTTTAGGCATGATTAAAATGCATTAATGCATGTGTAAACACAACCTGGCACTAACTTTAGTGCCAGGTCTGCCCAACCACTAGGGGCACATGGCAGGGCTGCAGGGACTTGGCATTATGTTTAGTGCCAAGTCCCTGCATGTGTAGACCCCTGCCAAAAATCACTTAATGCACACTAAATCAAATTGCACTTAAATGCATGCGTAGATGCACCCAAGGACCATCAGGGAAATTGCTTCATTTATGTTTAGCTTTAAAATGTGTTACTTAAGATGGCAGATGCATTTTTACTGGTTATGTATTGTTCTTTTAAAATTTCAGAGCCCCAGAGAGACCTGGGGAAATCACCCTTGGGTATTCTAACTTGCACACCAATATTTTTGAATTTTTTTGTTTGGCACCTGGTATGACTAGATCATTTTGGGAACTTCTTTTACCTTTTCCACATCCTTCATTCCCTTCCTTGGGTTTCTTGTCACATCCCTCTACTCTGTAGTTGAGCAAAAGAGCCACAGTTCTCCTATGTAAACAGTTCAATACAATTAAAATTAGATCTACAGAAGATGGGAGGCAATTATCCTTTCAGCACTGGACCTTTCAAGTACAAACCTTGTAGATGTTTCAGAATTCTCTGGTCTGCAAGAGAAGTTTCACAGCTTTCTCTTTTTGCATATCCAAAGGATGTAAAGAAAATTAGGCTTTTGTCATTTCATAATTTCTTCACAGGGATGAAGAGTATTTTGCACACACAAAATAAACACATGATTTTACCCCTGAACAATCTGGACTTTTATTAAGAATAAAAGTAATATTGTTCACTTGTGCAGTGCTTCATTCATATGGACTGAAGAATATTCACCAAAGTGATTCTTCCTGTTTTACAGTATGGGAAAGTAAGGAACAAATTGGTTAAAGACCTGAATTTTGCATGTATAAAGCACTCACACTTCCACTTAAAGTTAGTGGGAGTTAAGCTACTTAACAACCCTGAAAATCATACTCAAGAAACAGAGTTGGAAGGAGAACTCAGATCTCCCAGTTTGGTGCCTTATGCCCTAGACCAGGGGTTCCCAAACTTTTTCTTATTGCTTACCCCCTTCCACTTTTACCAGCTGCCCGCATAACCCTAACAGCATACATTTTATATTTTAACCCCTTAAATGCCAATTATTATAATTAAAATTAAATCCACCATTGCACAATTTCTCCCACATACATATTGTGTAATCTTCAATATCTATTAATTTAAATAAAATAATAATTCTAAAATCCATATGGTAATTAGTTCTAGTTCTCTTTGATCTGAATCATATGGAATTGTGAGTAGGTGCCAAGTTCCTTGAAGTCAGGAGTGTTCTTTTTGAGGGTATCTCCATGGCAATACTATGCAAGATGCAGAATTTCCTAGTAATGGAATTTTGCTACAAAGGAAAGAAACAGGAAAAAGAAAAGAAAAAAAATTCTTATGAATTATGCAAGTTGTCAATAACTAATCAAAAGTGGGGAATACAGAGAGAATCTTTCTTAATACAGTTGTTATTACTGTCACCTCGGCATAGTAATGATGCACTAAAATCTGTATTGATTAGCAATTGAAAGCTTAAAAGTAAGCTAAAAGCAGTATGTAATTATGCCATCCTCTCATTTTCTTTATAATTGCTGTTCTCTGTCCTGCGACAGTTGTACTGTCACCATGTCCTACCTGCAATTAGAAAAGAGACATAAACTAGGTAACTGTTATGTTTAGTGTCTAAACTTTTGCATAGGTAGTCCAGCCAAGAATGGGACATCCCTACTTTCTTCCTGGAATGGTTAGGTAATAATTAGAGCTGCTCAGAAACCCCTGGGGAAAAATGGTTGTCAGCTTGTTCAAATGTAAAACTATTTTGTGTGAACAGCTCTGTTTTGAGAGACTTTTTCACTGAAATATAGGCATTGGTGCCTAGCTATGCTGGCTTTATTGTAGCTGAGGACCTCATGCTGCCAGGCTCCTTGTGGAGGTGGAAGTCTGAAGCCTCTGGGGGTCTAACAGGAGATTTTAGTGACTAAAAATATTAAGCATATCTGAGTAGTTCTCTCCCAAACAAGCTGCAAATGGAGCACCCACCAACACAAGTAGAGGGCTCACCAACCTTGTAATATGAAGGAAGAGAAAACAATAATGCAAATGCATCAGAATAGCATTTTTGTCCTCTTCAGATGTTTAATCTAGTGACATAACCTCAGAACAGCTAGCTTCATGGCATGCACTAGCTCTAAGCATACTGTAAGAGCTGGCTTGACTGAAGGATTCAAGCTCCAAAATCTAAAGTAACAAAACTATGCATTGCAGATGGACAAGTACAACTTTGAATGAACTGGAATCAGTTGTAATTTAGCTTGTTTATACAGTGTGTGACTTTGACTTGGGAGTACTCTTGGCTATAGCATGGAAAGATACCAATTTTAAAAAGTTATTTTATTTTCCATTTCCTATTTTGCCTTTTGTGTTTTTTCTCTTTTCTTTGATAGCTGCTGTTTACTGTGATATGGAACTTATTTCACAGATAAAGTATAAATTTTTTATTTAAATGCTTGATATAAAAGATGGAAGAAAGAAACACAGCTGAAGAGAGCTGCTCTTGGGGAATGGGTATGTTTGTTAGTGTGTACCATATTTCACAGTGTATAAGTCAAGGTTTGAAGCCCAATTTTTAAATCTTAAAATTCAACCTCAATTTATACACCATACTCGGTGAGCAGTGCTGGGCTCAGTGTTTGACTGGCATGGCCTAGGAAGCACTGCTGGCAGGGGATGGGGCCACACTGTCCCTGTCCCCATCCCTATCCCCTGTGAGCAGTGGCGAGCTTGGCGCTGTGCTAGGAGTGTGCTGCTCACAGGGGACAGAGATGGGGCTGGGCTCGACACTCAGCTGGCACGGCCCCATCTCCTGTGAGTGGCACTGCCTGGGCTGTGTCACCTAAGCTTCGAGCCCAGCCCTGTCCCTTGTGAGGCAGCACCATTTTCAGCAGATTAGGGCAAGTCTTGGCTGGTGCGGCCAAGGCAGCGCCACTCACAGGGGATGGAGCTATGCTAGCCAAGCGCTGAGCCTGGCCATGACTTATACTCCATGCTTATGAAAATCATTGCCTTTCAAACTGAAAAGCCAGGGGTCAACCGGTATACCATGAAACATGGTGTATATATGCACAA